TCTTCCAACAAGCGGGATTGGCCTAGGGAATTTTAGTGGGGTTTTTAAGAGAAATTTTAATTATATAGGCCATAGCAAATATTTCTTTTTAATTCGGTTTTAAATTAGGTATTTATTGTAGCATTGGTTTTATAAGGCTGTCAGCCGCCCTGAGTCCGGTAAGGAGAAGGGCGGGATATAAATCGAATAAATAAATAAAATAAAATAAAAATGATTCAGGTTGAGATAATCATACTTAAAAATCAACCTCACACATCTAACCTCGCTCATATTTAAGTGATGTCTACTAGGACTACTATTGTAGAAAGTAAGGCTCTACATTTAGGCAAGAAAAACCAAATGCACAGGTACAGTATAGGGGGTACTTTGCTCAGTAGTAGTAACTGTGAGAGGGATCTTGGAGTGCTAGTGGACAATCAGTTAAATATGAGCCAGCAGTGTGCTGTAGCTGCCAAAAAGGCCAACACAGTGCTGGCTGCATTAACAGAGGGACAGAATCAAGATCACGTGAAGTGTTAATACCGCTTTACAATGCCTTGGTAAGGCCACACTTGGAATACTGCATCCAGTTTTGGTCATGATGTAAAAAAGATGCTGAGACTCTAGAAAGAGTACAGAGAAGAGCAACAAAGATGATTAGGGGACTGGGAGCTAAAACAGAACCGTTGCTAGAATTGGGTATGTCTAGTTTAATGAAGAGGACGAGGGGTGACATGATAGCAGTGTTCCAATACCTCAGGAGTTGCCTCAAAGAAGAGGGAATCAAGCTACTCTCCAAAGCAGACATGTCAAACTCGTGACGTCACATGACGTCGCGCAATGTATTGGAACTGTTTTGCTATTGCCGGCAATGGGGTGGGCATGGCTTCCACATGACGCATCCAGCCCCCGGGCCGGCTGTTTGACACCCTTGCTCCAAAGCACCTGAAGGCAGGACAAGAAGCAATGGATGGAAACTAATCAAAGAGAGAAGCAACCTCTAACTAAGGAGAAATTTCCTGACAGAATAATTAATCAGTGGAACAACCTGCCTCCAGAAGTTGTGAATGCTCCAACTCTGGAAGTTTTTGAGACTGGACAGCCATTTGTCTCAAATGGTATAGGGGGTTGAACTAGAAGACTTCCAAGGTCTCTTCCAACTCTATTATTATTATTATTATTATTGTTGTTGTTGTTGTTCTCCTGCACTAAAGCCAAAATAACATATTGCAAGATTTAGCTTCTTAGAACACTAAACTCGATTCTGCAATGTGAATATGTGAAATGTTTATTTCTAAATGTAATTACCACTGAAAGTTGCATTGATTCAACCAATATCGTAGATTTAAAAAAACCAGAAATAAACATTATTAGGACAAATCACTTTATTACAAATAACAATGCTATTTTTATTATAGAAAATATTGGATTTCTCTCAAGACATTTCAACTGCAGATCATAAAACCACAAATAGCTGGTTTTAACCATCACTTCAGAATTCCAGTTAACTGTGGTGTCATTTTTGTTAAAGACTGATTTATTGGTTCAGCCAACTTCAAAATTATGGTCAAATATTGCTATAAATCATACATAACAATGGCTGAAATTCAGATGGTCACATTACTTTAGTAAACAGACACACACAAGCTATTTTTCCTCATTCTTATGTATTTTACTGAATAATTATTCAGCATTTTTACACTAAGTACTGTACCTTAGAATAGGCCAGTGGGAAAAAGTCTCAAATTGATGTATTCCATTGTACTAAACATCCAGCATATGAGTACATGTTTTAGAACAAACCAGTATATGAAACCATGAAGCTGACTTTCATACTTTGGTTTTATTCTAAAACTGGTAAGCAATTATTTGGAACTGCAATCTGTATATATAGGCAAAAGGCTTATTTGTATCAGCTTATTAAATACATATATGACCCTCTGAACCATGCCAAATTTTTATTCACACTCCATGTCACAAACAAAACTTAAGTCGAATTGATGAAGTAAGCTATAAATAGCAACGGAGTTTTCCATTTATAAAGATTGATACTAAGTCTATTATTGAAGTTGCAACAGGATGGACTAATTTATACAAGATGTTATATTTACAAAGGCAAGCAAAAAAACAAACCAACAACCAGTTTCCCAAATAGTCTGATTTTATATTTTAAGTGAACTTAGGTTGACCCATGTATCCAAATATATTGATACTTTTAAACAGAATGTGCTTGAAATATAAATTTACAGTTGGATGAAATACATTTTAAGTGCTATTAAGAGAAGCAGGCTGCAAAAATAGCTTGACAATATATGGGATGGGCTACCAAAGAAATTATACACTTGTTACTAATCTGGTTCCATATATGGGAAACTGCTGAATTGTGGTAAATCATAATAGCCTATTGGCATAAGCACATGTACACTGAATCTCAGGTCTGAATTAACACCATCACAATTTTACCTTTGGTAATCATGACATACTCTTAAAACAAGTGCAGAAATATATGAACTCAAAAGTGCAAAAATACTCACAGATATACTCAACAGATCATATTGTTAAGTTAAGGTATCTACAATCAAAAGTTATTAATAGCCATATAATTCTCACATTCTGTCACAGTAGGCCTCCCAATTCAAAAAAGTTATAGAAAACAAAACACTACAACTATTTTGAGTGAGTTCTGAAAGGTACTTCTCTTTGACCCTGTGACCACTGGGATACCTGGATTCAATCCAGAGTTGGAAGTATGTGGCGGGTAAAGTGAAAGGAAGCACATTTCTTGTTATGACAATTCAAGGAAGAGCTGAAATTCTCCTAGCATCTAAAATGGACCTTCTCAGGAAACACTACCTTCAACTTTGAAGGCCGTATTTATAGATTTTTGAAGTGTCCATTTCACAGTACTGGTTAAAACAATCTGGAGTGATTTTTAATTGCCAAGAACAACCACAATTGTATGGTTGCAACATACATTTTCTCTGGGGTGTTATTATGTACTTGCCTTAGGAAAGGGTACATATCATAAGGTGCACGAAAGAGTGTATTAGTTTCACTCTGAGCATCTATGTTATTATGCCACAGATAGACACAGTGTTGTATAGGTAGTATAACTGATATCCTGCCCCATCCTCTTTATAGCACGCTGCAAATATTTCTCAGGAAAAACCCAGTAAGCAAACGTTACTGTCAGCTCACTAACATACACAAAAGTTTGTTGATGGAACTTATTCCTTCTTAGAGAGTAGCCAGTAAAAAGTGCTACTTAGCTTATTAGTAATTCAAGAAAGCTTTTAAAAAGTAGTTCACTAATTTTTTCATGGCACTACAGATTGTGCTGCATCAGCATAATTGTGGTAAAGTTAGAATTCTATTATCTTAGGGTGGCTTTCTCCACCTGCCACCCTCCTGATATCTTGGGACTGGAGCTTTCAGCCACTATTGTGGAACTTTCAGTCCCCAAACATCTGAGGGTACAAATCACCTGTTCCCATACATCAAACTGTTTGCTGCTGTTATTCAAATATCTCTGGAAGGAGATTATTAATAATCTGTCTGAAATGGTATAGGGTTTCCTGCCTGAGCAGGGGGTTGGACTAGATGACCTCCAAGGTCCCTTCCAACTTTATTATTATTATTATTAAGTATTGGAGATAAAAGTTGGGGAAGTTGGGTCCTAATTCTATCCAAACCACGAACTCTCTGGGATTATGTTAAGCCATTTTGAGGAAGCCATAATGGTGTGTCTTATACTAAGCCATAAACCATGCAGATCACAGTGGCTTAGTTCATATATCACAAGGGATAAGCAAACCAATCATCTCATGGTTTACCACGTACTAAGCCAAAACAGACTTTCTTCACATGAATTTCTCCCAGTTTCTCTACCTAAAAATGGATTACAACGGGCCTTCGTAAAGATTGTAACTGTGAACATGGAATGATAATAAAGCATTAGTATTACCATAATCCACTTTAAAACTGATCCTTGCAGATCAAGTGATTCCCATCTTAATTCTTATGCATTGATGGAAAACTGAAGTGCAAAATATTCATTCTATTGCACATATGCACTAAATCAGGTTTCAAAATAGAGATTATTTTTTTAAAAAAATCATTTTATTTAGATGCCAAAGGATGCAATCCACAGGAATCTGTATAAGGTCCATTCAAATTAATGTAAAAAGCACTACTGTTCACAGAAATATCCCTATGGGATGCATCATTAAGCTCTATTCACCACCTACATTATATACTGGCACAATTTAGCCACTTTATGCTATAATATGATAAACAATTATTCATGTATAAAATGGCATCTAAATGCCTCTATATAATACACTTGTGTGCTTAGGAACAGATTAACATTCCTAGTAAGTGCTTCATACAAATTTTTGCTACATAAGGTGGTAGATAAATGTACACACTGGCATTCTGAACATAGTCTAGATTATTACTGTTTGGTGCACTTGCACTATTTTCCTCTCTCATGTAGAAAAACTGTGAAGGGGAATGAAACAGCTGGCACATTAGTCATCACATGATTAAGATAAAAATATTACAGAAGTCCAATGTTATGATAGGAAACTAAGGCAATTAGCAAATTAAAATCCCAAGCCTTTGAAGAAAGTCCTGAAAATGTGTGTTGGAAAAGCATGCAAGGATGTGCAAATCTGCTTTAACTTTAGACCAATACAGAGAGTTTCTGGAAGCAACACAAAAATGTTACAATTCTTACTAGTGCAAAATAGCATGATTATGCCAAAACAAAGCATAGGATTCTTTTCTCTCTCTTTTTTTCTTCGTTTTGTGGGTATGTGGAGCGTTCATTATGGAGCACTTTTGTATGCGTTCAAACTTTCGACAGATTTTAACATTTCCATGCCCATGAGAAATTAATAGTAGTGCATTTACACAGAGTTTGCTTTTCATAACAGAAGTGACTAGTTTAGCAATTTGCATATTAGGATATTCTCGAAGATTAGAATATGTGTTTGTAAACACTAGAAAAATCTTTACAAAAATGAATATATTAAAATATTCTATACATTTTAAGTTACTGTAAACAAAAGTATCTTTGTTACACTAAACATGGATACAAAATATAAGCCAGAGGAGAACAAATCTGCATATATATCAAATTCAGGAGGAACAGGAGCATCATCTACTCACTTGTGATTTGTCATACTTTAGGGTTCTACCTTATAATGTCATTGTATTAAGCCAATTGGTCAGAGTTTGCTGGAAGACCTGTACTGACCCTATGGCATCACATCAGCTTTGCCTTCCTTCCAAAATTAGGTCATTAAGCTATGCATTATGGGTAGCATTTAAAAAATTCTTTCTGCAAAACTGTTCAGAAATAAGCTCTATTCAGCTCAATGGGATTTATACCCATTGCACAGGCCAGTGTTTTGCAGCCTGGGTTGCAATTTTTGTGGATACTAGAAGACAGAGGAATTGCCAGAGAATTAATGGAGAAATTTTCAATTTGCTTCTCAGGCAGCAGGTAAGAAGATGTTAAAGCACTAGTCTAGCCCTTATCTTTATAAACAATCAGAAAAAATGGCACTATCAAAAATTAACAATGCTGAATTTTGGTAAGCACTGTGTCTTACCAAACACAGAAATAGGGGCGACAGAGCTGTGTGCACCTGTAGATACTGCACAACTGCAGCTTTAAATGAATGTAACCAGCTGATTGTGGTGTCCACAATAGTTAACTGAATATAGCCTCGGCTTGTTGAAGTTGTTTTTCATTCTTAGGCTGGCCATCATGTTAACTCAACAGTCTTTTAACCTCTCATTGGACAAAGCTGCACTGCTGTATGCTGTCTACGTACAAAACTATAGTTCAGTCTACAGAGATAATTTTTATATGATGGCTTTCCTTCCCTCCGAGTCATTTCCACAAATACTTTTGAAAACATGTGATTAATTAGGTAGGGAAACAACTCTTATTTGACAAGGATACATATTGTTTCCTATTTTTTTTATAAGATTGATGAGAGTCATACCCATGAATAAAGCTGTACATCAAAAGCAGCCCTATGCCACAAAAATGAACTAAAAAAAGGCTAAGTCAAAACACTTTTCTCTGAAATAGTTACTACTGTAAAAAGATAACTCAATTAACCGATATTAATGATAAAAAGGCCATTATTATGCTGTTGAAAACCAAATAATTCACTTTCAGCATCGCTGATGCTATATATTTACGGCATTTTTCAAACAGCTCATTCCATATAACAGCTTTACAGACCATCATCCACGAGGATCTGAACACGAGCAAAGTTTTAGGGGGCCCACTCATTTGCTCCCCAAGCAAATCTCTGAGTTCTATTTTAAACATTTATAAATCTGTCCTGAAAATAGTTTAAAGAGAAATTAGTATTTATGTACTTTATATGCCTCCCATCTCAACCAATAAGGTAATTTAAAACACATTATTCTTCCTCCTCCTCTAGTAAATTTCTCTTTAAGCAATTTTCGTAACACACCCACAAACTTGCTTTTTAAATTTAATGAAATTTAAACAGTAATTGAGCATCTATGTTTAGGAACACAAAAAGCCTTATTCAAACCGTAATCTAACTCAAGATTGTCTATGTTAATCAGGAGCAATTCTCTGAGCTTTCAGACAGGGCCTTTCTCAACCCTAGCTGGACTAGCCAGAGATTTACCCTTGGCACCTTTCACATGCAAGGCACATGCTCAGTCATTGAGCTATGGCCCTTTCCTATGTGTTGGAAGCTAACACAACTGGGGATCTCTGTGTTAGGAGATGTTGTAAGGAAGACTCTCCAAAAATTCAGATGATGACATAACCTTCTGGATAGTAGCCAATGACCATGCTGGATAAAGTACTACCAAAAAATGTGGTCACTATAGGCCCAGTTTTTCAAGACTGTACCATGCTGATCTCAAGCTGGCATAAAGTGAAATATTTGGAAGATTCACAAAACTTCAAGAGTACTAACTGCTAATTCACCATTCGCAGTGTAATAACCTGCTTCTACTTTGAGCTTGATGTTTTCATTTCTGTAAGGAAAAAGAAAGTTTGGTTACATCTTCAAGCATTCAGAACAGGCTTTCCATAAAATTTCTTTGTAACCTGAGAACTGGCTTTATTCTTGACTATCCAAATGGAACATTATATACCAAATTGTTCACTGATGCTCTATACTTTGAATAAAACAGGGATATGTAACTTTTGGTAGTTATGGGCCACATATGACTTTTTTTGGTAGGGCTAAAAAAATGTAGTAGTAGAGCAACTATAAAAAATGGGCAGAGTTATAAACTGTGTATGTTTAAGTTGAGTAAAGAAATACTTTTTTTAATCATTCATGAACTTCCCTGTATTTCTTTTTAGGGAAGTTCATGAATGATTAAAAAAAGTATTTCTTTACTCAACTTAAACATACACAGTTTATATATTTTTGTCATGTCTCCTGTTGCCTATCATATTCCAGGTTAAAATGCTGCTATAATCTTTGCTCATGAGGGCGGTATTCTAGAGCGCCAAGAAGCTGTGTGTAGATGACTTTATTCTCCACACAACAGAAGTTTTAAAAGTTGTTTTTTTTAAAAAACAAGGGATGGTGTTGATAGATAGGTGTACTTAGGTAAGTTATGGTGGGATGCTATCTATAAATCCTAGAATTCCCTGAACAAGAGGAGGCAAATGCTGGTAGTCAAAGACACACAACTTTACCTTCTCAAGTTGTATTAGCAGACTTGCTACATGGTGCAGACTTATTTGATTTGTTGGTTAACTGTCTGAACAAAGAAATATTGTTAAGGCTACTGAAGCTACACTACATAGTTAAAATCTGAAAATTTGTCAAATATATTCTTGAAAAATATTTTTTCACATATCATAGGTGGTCCTCGACTTACAACAGTTCATTTAGTGATGATTCAAAGTTACAGTGGCACTGAAAAAATGACTTATGATCATTTTTCACATTTAAGACCGTTGCAGCATCCCCCAGGGTCACGTGATTTACCTTCAGATGCTTGACAACTGATTCATATTTATGACAGTTGCAGTGACCCAGGGTCATGTGATCATCTTTTGTGGCCTTCTGACAAGCAAAATCAATGGGGAAGCCAGATTCACTTAACAACCGTGTTACTAATTTAACAACTGCAGCGATTCACTTAACAAATGTGGCAAGAAAAGTTGTAAAACGCGGCAAAATTCATTTAACAAATTCCTCACTGAGCAACATAAATTCTGGGCTCAGTTGTGGTCGTAGGTCGAGGACTGCCTGTATTGAGAAAGATTTGGCGCAATCACTCATTTTTACCTTGCAGCCATCGAACCTGTGTGGCTGGTCCATATCCCCTCTCATTCTTGGCTGAAATCCTGAACACAATGGCAGGCTTGGATGTATGATCAACATGAGCATTTGCAAGCTGGGCAGCAGTCACTGTGCATGAGGTCTTAAGGCCACAATAGATTTTCATGAACATAAGTTGATTAGGATTTTCATGGAGCTGGGTGGTTCTTATTGCCAAATAAGCGGAATATTCCAAAATATTTCCTGAAGGTGAAACTGGAGGCTCCCATGAAAGATGAATACAGTCTGCACTCTAAGGAAGAAGTGAAAACGCACTTGACAATTCTAGAGAGAAAAATTGCAATTTTGTTCTCTAATTTTAGGTATGTGCAGATTAGTATAGCTGCTCAATACTGAGCAAAAAACTCAAAGGCACTATCTAGTTTATACATTGTACTAAGCTATAATGTAGCTTTCTGGATTCTGGATTCGCATGTTGTAAAAATTCAGTTCAAGACTGCAAATGTACTGTGTTTCTGACAGTGTGATCTGTGAACAGAGCAATTGATGATTTATTCAATAAAAACAAAACAGATTTCGCATGATATACCAATCTGGGATTAAATATTGTCCTTCAAAACACATATGTCTACATTGAGATTATGAGATCTTACAGTGTTTGAGTTATATCTGCAGTAAACCTGTTAATATAGTTACCATATTACAATGCGCTATTTATATCTAAGGTTCTAGATACGAAAGTAGAAGTTACATCATGACTAAAGTTGCTCCAAAATCCAATCTTAGATTTAACAGCAAGATTTTTCCATTGAGAATCCATATTGTTAACCACTGTATCAAAAGTCTGATGACCACTCAGAGGTGTTTTCTTTGTTTCTTTTGGTCAACTCAAAATTACTTTGCTCAGAATGCCATATTTTACCATTGCTGGTTTTTTCAAAGAACATTCATTTCTGTAAGACTTCCATGAATGTTAAAATTCCCTATTCAGATTTACACACCCAGAGGGAGGAAAGAAGGAAGAGTTATTACCTTGCTAATTTTAACGATTGAAGGTGCTCCAGGAAATCCAGGGATGCAAGTTTTAAATTCACTGATTTTGCTGAAAGGTCCTACACCGCATCCATTAATTGCAGCAACCCTGAACCTGTATAAAGTGCCAGGAGCGAGATCCTGTTTCTTAAACAAACTGGCATTTGGAATATCTGTATAGTCTCCCTAAACATAAATAACATGAAAACAAGTAAATAATTATTTGCTTTTCTTAAAACACAGATCCTAAAGACTCTAGTATGTTCTAATCTAGACTGAATTTCCTATTAGGAAGAGCTTTCCAGCACAGCTGCCTACTAAGCAAAAACAGCTTTGAATGTTCTTAAGATCCGCTGATATAAATGGGAGAGTGGAACGTATGATATACCTTCTCTCACCTTGGCAAATGAGATTTATGCGTGCTTAATTTGAGAATATTATCCAATGATTAAGGTATGCAACTTAACGCCCAAATGCTAAATGTACCCCTGAACATCTTGGTTGTGGCTCCCATAAATATCTAAAAGTTGTTATCAAACTGAAAATATTAAACACATGTTTGGGAGACAGTCATACTAATGATTTTTAATGTTAATCAAAATAAATGACATTGAATTTCATTTTTATAAAAGCCGATGTAACTCTCTGCCTTGAAAAAACTGGGTTCCCAAATTCAAAGAGGAAAGATTCTTAAAATTAACTGGTGACAGAAAGAGACTATGTAAATACAATAAACCCAAAATCACAACAACTAGTAATGGCATAGGGCACAAGCTTGTTTAGTTCTTTGCATAAGCTGCTAATTCCTTCATCTAACTTTCCAAGATCCAATCACGTCCATACTTAATTTTGTTGTTACTATTTAATAAGAAAATCCAACAGACCTTGCTGGAAAGAACTTTTTCTTCTTGCAGCAAATAAAACTGGCTCACTAATGCAGTGTTGCTTTGAAAAATGCCAACATCATACCACTTTCGTTCTTGTGTCCTTATTCTTGCATTCTGCTTTGGTGGTGAAGTTTTCTATAATTCAAGCAGTAGGCATTGTTAAAGTATGGACGTTTTCCTCATCAAGAGTCTAATATACAATTTAGTCTTGGAGACCTGAATGTGGAAGGAATTAAATCTTTTCTCCCGTCCCATAATGACAGCCCTACCAATACTAGGAGGAGAGAGCAAATTATGTGATAGTACTACACATGTCAATTACCATTTACACAGGTAGTCCTTGACTTACAATAATTCAATGACCATTCATAGTCACAATGGCCTCGGAAAAAGTGACTTACAACTTATGCTTGCACTCGCATCTGTAAAACGACTCTTGTAGTCATGTGACTGCACCTCAGGCAATCAGTTCACATTTATGACCAATTGCAGTGTCCTGTGGTTACGTACTTACGATTATTTCCAGCAAAAAACACACATTGAACTGGATTCACTTAATGACTACTGTAAAACTATTGTAGAATGAGGTCTGACGCACCTTATGACACAATGACTTATGGAAAATTCCAATCCCAATTGTGGTTATAAGTCATTGAACCACTATGAAATATTGTATGTTGCATTATGCTGCAGAAAAGTCAAGATAGCAACTGAAATTAATTTGATGTCATAGTTGCCAATGCTAGGTTGAATTAATGCATTTTACAGAATAAGCAATTAAATCACATACAGAATAAAAGCTGACAAGTTTGGTATGAGTGACTCAGTTTCCACTAACACCTATAAACACGGATCATTCTCTAAGTCTTATTGGCAATATCTGCTGCTCAAAATGTGTCATGTACTTACAGGCGATTGTACAGCTGAATCAAGTGGGTTAATAACTGTGACTCTAGTCGAGGCCACTGGAGACTCTTTAACTAGGAGAAACATATTTTAAATTCTTTTACTGCAGGTACAAAGACTTTCAAAAAGAAATCCATTACACTGGAAACGTCTTTCAGTGATAAAATTTCATAGAATTTCTGTCCTATGTGCAAGAAGAAAAATGCTGGCTTTTTATTTGGAAAGCAACTGACAAACTGCCTGCAATGCATGACTGTCAAGAACAGATAAATAAATATATGCTGAATGAAAAAAATAATCTGAATTCAAGTTAGACCAGGGGTGTCAAACTGGTGGCCTGCGGGGTAGATGCGTCATGCGTAGGCCACGCCCACTCTGGCTCCCCGAAGGCAAAAAATGTCAAGATATGTCACAATGCGTCACGTGACACGATTGAGTTTGACACCCGAAATTTAGACCAGACAAAATTAAATAAAAATAATTTCATTTTTAAAAAGTGGTCAAGGGCTACCAAGATTCCAAATCCTACATTTTCATGTGGTATCTTTTGCAAGATGTTGTATATTTACCAGATTCCAGCCTTTAAAAAAAAACATGTTCCTTCTCCTGCATTTTTTGGAACATATTAAAAATACATGACACAAATATTAATATGCTGAATAATATTAAGTATTGTGAACAGTTTAAATTGTAATTTTAGGCACCAATGGCTTAATTAAAACTTGAGACATTTATAGCCCAGCTTTATTCAAAATATAAACTAAATATATTGAAACAAAAAATTAATCGGATGTGCAATAATGTGTACCATTGTTTTTTAAAAATGCAGTTTTAAACACATAGTTATTTGTAACTCAAATATCTATATTCAATCCATACAACATAGTTTCATATACTGTATATGTATCAGAAGTTTAAAAATTGCAAAAAAAAAATCTGCATTCAATCCAAATTATATATTGTTTCCACTTGAGAAGAAAACTAAAAGAAACCTAACATTCTTTTTTTTAAAACAAAACAAAAAACAAGGTATGAAAGAACAATAAGGGAAAAACTGAATAAAATTATTACATCGAGAACTAAACCATTTCTTTTGAGAGATCTCATCCTGTTAAAAGAAAAGGCAAACTAAAAGACAGCCTTATGGTTATTAGATTGGCTTAAGACGTCCTCATCTACATTAGGAGCAGATATCCTTATTTGCATCTTAAAGAACTCATTTGATCTTAATTTTGCTTTATAAGGCAAGGCATGAACAAATCTTTATACTTGTACACATGCAGAAAAACTGGGAACTGTTCTATCGACCCTAGCTTCCCATTTCATCTAAACTTCAAAAATATGAATATCAGCTTCATGTTCATCTACAATTTAAAGCTGGTTTAATGGCCTGTCTTGGTATAAACTTGGCAATCATTTTATCTCAGTCTGAATGAAATGAGAAATTAAGGTTAATATCTTGTTTATTGATTCAAGCAAAGGCACTGCCTGTATGTGTTATAAAAACCTTGGTTAAAAATATTATATATGTACATTTTGATGCTATTCAAGAAATGGAATTCTGTAACAACCATGAAAAGAAAAACCATTCTGAATATGATTCAAAATACAAAAGGTGAAACACTCTGACTTTCAGGTTTGAACTACCTGTTGTTAATAATGGAGTTTCATCTTTTGCAGCTGCCCCATTTGATGAGTTGGTTCTAACAGCCTGCTGAGTTACTATATTTTGTGTGGTGGTGGCTATGCTAGATGTAGAAGTATCTACTTGGGAAGTTCTTGAATCAAAGTCAAGTAATTCATTTAGATTTGCTGACATCTGAGAACCTGAAAGGAGAGAAAAGTAAAAGCCCATCACATGTGACCCCTAGACAGAAATAACAGATGTTTGTTTTCTACAGAAATTCTTTTCCTTCAGATGGAGCTGGAATGTCCATGCAGCAAACTGGCTTGATAACATGGTTTTAGATCTTCAGGCTATATAAGATGTCTGTTTTGAATGCTTACCCACATTAAATGTATTTTAAAAACTATTAAAAACAAATCAAAGAGAGGGTGTCTCTGCATGGTTTTCTCTGGTATGCTCATTTTTACAGAATGGGACAACTCGCCACGGCCATCTTGCTGCAGCCAACACACGGTGGGACAACTCGCCGCGGGATAACTCTTATGTGATAAAAGTTAACTGCCATTGATGCTTCGACATTATTTCCATTGACAAAAATAATAATAAAAGGTATTAATAAAAATCAAAACATTAACATCCATTCTTATCCCACACATATCTGGAATCACATGTGGCAAATAAGTTTCAACTTAGTGCTGCTTACCTAAAGTGCTAGCAGGCAAACATAAAGGGACACTGGGCTCTTTGGAAACGGAATGGTTTTTCTTCATATTTTCAGTTTCTGGAATCTTGGCTTTAGCCTCTGAAATGGAAATTTGCACCTAGAAAGAAAAGACAGCACCAATTTCTCTGTAATAACTGCTATGATTATGACTGTCAGCATCTAAGCATTCCTGATTCTGCTTCAGGTTGGAAAGCAACAGCTTTATGAATCTTTTGCCTAATACTCTCTCTATACTTTATGGTCTATATAGGAACTAATATTTAAACTTTTTTTTGAAGGGGGGAGCATGGTTCCACATAGGCTCACTCTGCTGGAGAGGAACTCTAACTGGCTAACACAAAAAAATATCCCCTTTGGCCCCTAATCAAATGAATACTGATGTCTATTACTACATCCTCCCATATGCTGCTGTGTGAGGAGAAAACAAGCAGGGTATGCAACTTATATTCTCAAAAAGTCTTGCATTAGGCTTCTAAATCCATTCTAAAAGTTGTCATTGAATTTTAGTCCTAATGTAAATAGTGACATGTAGCAACTGGGTCCAGGGACCTAATATCTCTCCAGTGGGTCTGGTAGCAAGCATGGGTTTGATGGTACTTTGGGTAGGATACAAAGAAGTTTGAGAGATTCTAACTTGGAGTGAGGAACAAGCGTTAGACAGCCTTTAGGGTGGGTACATAGGCATGGTCTGCCAGAAGATGCCTTTGTTAGTTAGGAAAGCAATGAAAAAAAGGTGTGATGGGCTGTTTGGTTGGTGTGAGTTGTATCACCATACTGCTGAATCCTTGGATATGTAATGTTTGCATCTTAGTTGTGCTAATTAGTCAATACTAAGGAGATTTGATTGGGCAAAATTAGTATTTTGGCTTTAAAACAGCTACTAGGTAATTTGTTAGCTAATAATCATATAGACCTATTAAATTACCATTTTTAAGCACTTATTCATATTATTTAGAAAATTCATAATAATATTCTTCACAGTATTAACTTACATTGCTTGAGGCACTGAGAGTTTGGGGGTGGAGATCCAGTTTAGTTCCTGGAAGAACGACAATATTCATTAATTTTAGAATTTGCTGCATAAGAAAAGGGGGAGAGGGGATCCTCTTCTATGTAAATGTACAAATAGTTAAAGGAGTGAAAGGAGAAAACACCTTCCTACAGATTCCAAGATGAACTAATCCAGCGGCCTCCAACCTTTTGGGCACCAGGGACCAGTTCTGAGGTTTTTCCACAGACCGGAGGGGGTGAGGATTGGCGTGCTGCCTGCATCCCATGGATGGAGCTTCACTTATTGCACAGCCCGGTTTTGGGCATGCTGTAGCTCGGTGCCAGTCCACGGACCAGGGGTTGGGGACTCCTGAATTAATCAATCTGGACAGTAGGCACACTTCAGTAAAGCATGGGAAAGTCTAATTCTAAATAACATTTTCACTATCTCAGGTGATTATTTTAAAAAGAAACAGGGAACAACTGCATTTTGCCTTTCATTTTTTTAATCTTCTACTAAAAACGATCAGCCAACCCCAATCTTGGAATGAAGATTGATAATGCTGGAGAAATTAGTCATCTCCAAAACCATGGAGTTTGATCAATTATGATTATTTGGTTGGTGTATATCGGGGTGGGCAATTATTTTCCCAAGGGCACATGAGAAACTGGGCCTATTATGGATGGCCAAACCAATAGGCTGAACTTAATTCTGCTGCTGATGCCCATGTGTCAAGGGAGGAGGGAGCGTGAAGCCTCTTCTCAGCCCGGCCACTGTTCTTCTCTCTCCAGCCATTTAAAAGAGCTCTTGCTTCCTTCTCCCACTCTTGCAATGCACTTATTTACATTTTATTTTGTAACTTCCAGTTGATCTCACATGGGCCACACAGGGACAGCCAAAGGGCCAGATGTGGCCCATGGGCCACAAAATGTCCAGGTCTGATGTATATGATAGGTTGATCTGAAGCTCAAACAACATTTTTAAAGATATGTAATTCTGACTTTTTAAGTTTCTTTGAGAAAGAACCTACTGTTCAGAACCAGTAGGTTCAGGTTGCTTCAAGAGAACCCTATTATGTTTTCTTTTCATCTGTGGAATCTTTTGGTTTGTCGTAAGACTTCAAGTCTCCTTTGACATTTGAAAGCTACTCTATAAAATGAATCTTTGTAAGACCAACTGGGTCCTTTGTCACTTTCTGTTTTGCTTGCTATGGCCTGAACCGAGGAAGACAGGCTAGGCAATTACATGCACCAACCTCCAACAGATAAGCAAGAGCTTAGAACAGACATTAGAACAGAATCAATCCCAAACAAGAGACATTCCAGAAAAAGAGTTATGCAACTATTTTACTCATGTAACTTATAAACTTGCTTTAATTTTGGAAAATGTGTGATTTTACCTTGCACACAGGATGATTGTGGTTCAGGTGTCACAGTAAAGGATATGTCAGCTGCACCAGGTGTTGACATATCTAAATTTAGTTGAAGAAGGTATCCTTCAACAGTAGGAACTTCATCCCATTTAACTTGAAATGAATTAGTTGTAGCTCTGATGAGCTGTACCTGTGATGGTGCTGGTGGTTTCTCTTAAAAGAGAAGAATACATTCAATTACAATAAACTGTAAGTCTTTTTTGAGGAGATTTAAAACTTTCTAATACAAGAATTATGCACACAGCATGCTACAGAAAAAAAGTATTTATTCCAGCAAACTCTCAAATGAAGAGAAGGAATGTACATTAACATTGTAAAGGTAATCCAAACCTATCTGTTATCTCTGGTGTCAAAAGCTCCAGAGACTGTTTCTCAATCTCAATAACTTTAAAGATGTGTGGAATTCAACTTCCAGAATTCCCCCAGAGAATCCTTCTGATATCTGAAGGTACAGGCACAAAATTCCTCAGTATCATGTTTGGACAGTTATGATACAATGGAAAAATGATGGTTTGCTCAAATATGTAAGCTGGAGAGCAAAAGGTGAAGGCTTCAAGTATTTTCTTAATTCTTCAAACTACAAAGCAGAAATTATAACTGAATCAACCATAGGATTATGTTCAATGTGCAAATTCGTAGTTTAGTGAGTCATTATTTACTGAACTAACTTAACTGCCAGGGTTCTCATAACACTAAACAACAAACTAACCATGTTTCAACCTTGTGGACTGTGAAATTCAACCTAAGTGTGGATGCTCAGTTCAAAGCAATTCTTGCATATTTACACTAGATGATTTTTTTAAATTTCAAAAACAGAAAATCAAATACATTTAAATTTGCCCAGGTTTTTAATCACCATCAATAATATTATCAGAAAGTATTAGGAGATTATTCACCTGTATCTAAATACCAAAGATCCTTGCAGCAAACTTGATTGTTCCAAGCTTTCCTATAGCCATCTCTGCCACTCCATATATACAAGCGAGAGCCGACAATGACTGTGCAGTGGCCAGCTCTTGGACCTGGTAACAAATTGTTTTTATCTTCTTGGCAATCTGGGATTAGATTTATCCATTCTAAAGTATCTGATAACAAATTGAATAAAACAAATTAATATTTTTTTTAAAACTTTTTATTTATAAAACAATTAAAAAAAACATTGGATTTGACGTGACATTCCAGTATATACATTCTTATCAGATTATACCATATTTTACAATCAATTCATTATCTCTACATATACATTAAATTTTATATACATTATCTATTCTAAAGTAACATATATTTCTATCTTAACATTCGTCTTTAATCCCAGCCGCCCTTTTCAAATTCCTCCAGCGGTAAAATTTATCCCAGGTTTCAAAAAAAATTGATCCACATTTATCTTTTAGTATCATTGTGAGCCTGTCCATTTCTGCACATGCTAATATTTTATGTATTAACTCTTCCTCTGTGGGAATTTCCTTACTCTTCCATTTTTGCNGTTTTACATTTCCAGCATAGGGGTGAGATGTTCGAACACATTTTAGCTAACCTTACGGGTGGGAAATGCCATCTGTAAAACATCTTGTAAAGATTTTCCTTATATGAGGTAGCTAAGGTGAGTTTCCTATTTCTTTCCCACAGTTCTTGCCAGATATGTAGGTCAATACTAAAACCAAAATCCCTACTCCAAGTTAACAAATTAATATTTGACTGTATTAGGATTTGACAAATTAACTCTACACTAACTCATAATGAGCAAATTCATTCTTACCACTCTTCATTGGGGGTAGAAAACAAAATAACATTTTATTATAACATTGAGTGATATAAATTAAATGTATTGTTTTAACACTTGTTACAATTTCCAGTATTATTTTAAGAACATAGCCATATTATATTATCCAATATAGTGGAATCCCTCTATGAACAATGTAGAAACATGATAGAAGGTTATATGCAAATATAAGTGGTATGCAGAGTTATTCGGTAAGGGACAAAAATGAAGTATACTAACCTAAATTTAAGTAGGAAAATGAACCAGTACATTTCCATTCCCCATCTTGAGCAGGGAGGCTCTCATCTGTACTCTGTGGGATCCATCCACCAAAAATGTACATTCTGCAAATATAAGAACATAGAGGGCGAAAACAGGAACAAAGTGAGAGAGGGTATACGTACAATTAATTTCCAAGCTTCATTTCATCTTACAAATTATACAGAAACTAGTTCCTAACTAAAAATTTGATCTTAATACCCTTTCCCATTTCTCTACTCCTCCCAAGCCATACAGTAAAACACATTAAGAGAATTTAAGTAAGAGCCAATGTCTTTACTTACTAGATTTTAAAGAAGATATTAATACAAAACTGACTATTACAGTTGCTTTAGAAGCTTCATTAAAATAATATAGTATTAATTTATTTGTGTTATGCCTTAGTTTTGAAAGAATAGAACAATTTCAACTGGCTTTATAATTTGCATTCAACTATGGCTTATTCAGCCATGATTTATTGAAATTATGAATACGTTGAGCCATAAATCAATGGCTTACTAGGCTTAAAGCAAACATCACATTGTAGCTTAGCATGATGTTTGCTTATTGTGCCATAAGCATGAATTAATATAAAAACATACATTAAAACACCATAATATTTGGACAGAGAATATTACAGAATTATACTTGGCTAACTGAAAGAGGACTTGGCTTCTTTCAAACAATCTTTCTCAAATCATGAAATTACTGTTTCATTCAGAATTTTATGGAGAGGGAGATCCAAATACTATCTTTCCCTTATTTTCTTATCTTTTTTTCCACACAGAAAATCATTTTTTAAAAAGAATACAGAATTACTACATGCCTTCTGAATGGTGATACAAACTAGATGATACAAACTATTTTAAAATCTGATCATTTCTAACAACAAGCCAAACTAGGCCATACTAATGAAGAACGTGATAATGTTTCCCTCACGAGGTGGCTGAACTCCATAGTCCACCATCTTTATATGTGACCATATGACAGTAGAGAGTCAGTGTGGTGGTGTAGTTAAAAGTATGAGACCTGAAACTAAATTCTAGTACTTTTTAGGCACAAAGTCAGCTGGGGAACTTTGGGCTAGTCACTCCCTTTCAGCCCTAGGAAAGAGGCAAGAGCAAAACACATTCAAAAATGTTGTTAAGAAAACTGTAGGGACTTGTCTAGGCAATTGCCTGGAGTCAAGGCTAATTTGGAGGTACACATAAACATCATACCAAACTCTCATAGTATCTGTTATCATCTATTACTAAATCTAATCATTGATACATTAGATCAGGGGTCCCCAACCCCCGGTCCGTGGCATGCCAGAAACCGGGCCGTGCAAATAAGCAAAGCCCCATCTGCGAGCTGCGCGAGATGCAGGCAGCACATGAACCCACGCCCCCTCCGGTCCACACAAAAACCTCTCTCCATGGAACTGGTCCCTGGTGCCCAAAAGGTTGGAGGCCTCTGTATTAGATCATTAGATACATTCCCTTATGGCACAATTATACACATTTAATTTCAACATTATACATATTTAATTTTAACAATGTTCTTCAGTTATGAGTAGGTGACAAGAAGGGATTATATCCAATGAATGGTTATGTATATATTGCTTTTTCATTCTGAAAACTGAATGAAACACAAGAATCTAGTAAATGATATGAGGGCATTGGATTCTGTAGCAATATAGCTAATCAATAATTTGTTTGAATGTTTTATGTAAGAAGACAATATTCATGAAATGCAAAAAAGGAAGATTGGGGGTGATCAAAGAATACTTGGCAGCCATTGCCAGGGTAGCTTTTATACAGACTCATCTAGTGTTCCAGTTGTACCCATTCCTGAACCTAAAAGCTATCCATTAGTCACCTCCTCTTTGGATCATTGTAACTTATTCTAGATGGGGCTACCCTTGAAGAACACTCAGAATCTGCAGCTGCTCCAGAATGCAACAGCATAGGCAGTTTTTGGTATTTCGTGTTATGTCCTCCAAATACTATTGCTCCGCAAGTGGCATTGGCTCTCAGAAGGCTTCCGGGTGTAATTCAAGTAGCTGATTGTTATCTGTAAAGCTCTCATGGCATGGGGCCAACTTCTTGCAGGATCACCTTTCTCCTATTGTTTCTGTTTGGCCCACCAGATCTAGTAGAGAGGGCATGCTCCAGGTGCCCTCCATCAAACAATGTCATCTTGTTGGACCCTGGAGCTATGTCTTCTCAGTGGCAGTACTTGCCCTGTAGAATAGCATCCCCTGGAGTAATGTTCCTCAACCATGGCAACTTTAAGACATCTGGACTTCAACACCCAGAATTCCCCAGCCACTATGGAGAATTCTGAGACTGAAATCCAAAGATCTTAAAGTTGCCAAGGTTGAAAACACTGCTATGGAGATCTGAATGGACCCACATGATTCAAACTTAAATAGAAATGTAATGCTCAAAAAATGTATGCTTGAGGAATGAGGTTAAATAGACACAAGAATATATGCTACATTGTATAGTCCCTATCTTCAGTGACATAATAGGGCAAAAAATACATAGGTTATAAAAAAGCAGTATTATCAATGATAACAATCAACTACAAGTTCTTATTTATCATGAATAACTCTGCAACAGCTTAAACAAACTTTATGGATTGGTTTACAGTATTAAATTGCAACTTCTAGAAATATGATATTAGAATTACTCTTATGCTACTTTATTCTATAAAGTTGTTTTCTCTCCTAATGCAACAACATGTATTATGCATAAGTAAGCCTTTCCCTATTTTCAAAGCTCCTTTTCTTTTCTTTTCTTTTCTTTTTTCTTTTCTTTTCTAGAAGATGTAATGGGCTTTTTAATTAAATCTGAAGTCATGCACAGAGGATTATATGTCCCCAAATAAAAAACATATGTTTAAGAAATCCATTTTGGTTTCCTGGAGGCCTATTGTAAGATCCCCTAATCTGCAGGCAGTCTTTCTCACAGGGCTGAAACTCACTACATTTCACATAAAAGCAGGATCCCTAAATACAAACACTAGAGTAACAGTCTCCTACTAGGTGTACCTTTCTATAGGTGAGCTTTTAACAACAGACATACTTGTTTCCTATTACACTGGCTGTATGTAGACTACGGGGAAGTGGCACTGTTCCTTTAGTTTCTGGTTTCGACCAAGTCATTGTCTCTATTAAGAGGAAAAAAACAGAGAAATCATATAGAAGGGATTATTTATTTATAACATTTATATACCCGTCCATCTTCTAACCATCTCTAGCTGACTCCCAATAAAAATTATATGAACATTTAATTACTTCATGAACATTTATGTAAGACATAAGATATTGTTTTTCAGACTTCAGGAAATTTGTCGTGCACAGACAGATGCTAAAGAGGGTTATTTTTGAAACGTATATTTGTAGGCACAAAAAGTTAGTTACAACATATATGAAGGTACTATTTTAAATGGTGGAACACTTATTTTTCAGAGCCACTTGCTATGAAAATTGGTAATCTTTCTTAGCCTTTTCAGAATCAAATTCAAAATATAAAGTTTTATGGAAGATTATAGCCAACCAAAATAAAAATAAAAATTGCTATCATTAGTTTTACACTTGCATTTCATCCCTCAAGCAAGATCTTTTGAGTTATGGAAATGGAACTTTTCTTATCACACCTGTCCATTATTATCCACATTCAATTCTAGAATCTGTGATATCCTACCAATTATTATTGTATTTGCAAAACAAGTGTTAAAGGACAAAGCCATCCCTCAAAACATTTAATCAAGACTATTTTGCTTTTAAATGATTTCTCAAAGAAACAATATTTCAAAATTCTTTTGAAAAATGAGTTTAAAAATAATTGTGGTGTTATTAAAACTTAACACCAAAATAGATTTTTTAAAAAATCACATCTACTTTTGATGAAACCTAGGAATGGCTGTAATCCATTAGGGGCAAATAGTTTATTTTGCTGTGTACTGTATGAAACAGCATTCAGGTAGAGTTGAAGTTTAAGAATAAATTTACAAGGTGATGCAAACTTTCCCATCACACAACAAATCCTTCAGAATTAATTATTCCTTAGTGTATTTTTTAAAAATAACTCACACAATTTTATTTGCAACTATACTCACCTATATCAAGCTCCCAAAGGTCATTAAGCCGGCAACCAGACATCCCTCCAAATAGAAACATTTTTGGATTTCCCAAGTCTTTTTTACAGTATATAACAGCTGTGTGCGATTCTCTGGGAGAGGGCAAAACTCCTCTGGTCAATGGAATACCCCAGCCTAGGACTCCCGATCCATGCTGCAGCTCCAATTCATAGAAATCATTTAAATATCTAATGTGGGTTACAAATACAGAAAATGCCAATAACTTTCTATGGCACTACCATAAAAAAAACTTCTATTTGTCAATGTAATCCCCTGTTTTTTTACAACAATGCGGTTTTTTTGCAAAGGATATATTAAACGTTTATAAAAACAGTTTTCAAAAAGAAAAATAATGTAGAACTGTCCTCTCCTAGAGATTTGTCAAAATTATGTCTTCCACAAGCATTTTAAAACATTTTTATTCACTATGCCAATTTTAAAAGGGATGGGATAGAGCCCCAACTTTTAGATTAGTATAAGTATAGGCTAAATAACAAAGAAATTGAAATATGTACAGACACTGCAACTTAAGATGCTAAAGCAAAACTAAGAGGTTTTCAAATGTCACTAATTAGCTCTGATCGATTAATGAAAACCATTAAACCATGTATCATTATACGTTTAAAATAATCTTAATGTAAACTGCTCCAAATACTACTAATAAGCATGCTTTTATTGTTATTTTTAAGTATCAAGCTTATATTAGTATTTCATATTTCTGGATTTAAGGATGATCAGTTTGACAGTTGATTGCCAATCTTTCTCCTTGATATTAGTAATTATGAATAGATATGAACACTAAATAGGCTCACTATGTACATTCTGTTTTTACCGTATAACTTTTTAAAAGTAAGAAAACCTAAACAAGTCATACTAATATTCTGTTCCAAACTCATCAGCATACCTGGGAATGTTATTGTTTGAGTCTTCGCTCTCATTTGCCAGTCCACCAAATAAGTAACACTTGTTGCCATACAGACAGAAGCTATGGCCAAGGCGAGGGCATGGAGGCAAACCTGCTGAAGGGGGCTGAGGTCTCATTTTTTTCCACAGCCATCGACTTGCCTTGTAGATGGAAAAAGAGAATGTTGAGAAATGCAAGCAAAATTGTTTACAAAATTACCGCTACTGTGACTGCCAGTCACCAAACTCTCATCCACCAGAAGTAAGCAAAGCACTGGGCTTCAGTCAATTAATTTTCTAAAAATGCCTCTAGAAACTACACGAGGACCAGAGACATTAATGGAAATAAACATTATGAAGGAGCTGGTTCTTTCATTTCCAGCATGCTAGCTTTTACATTTTTAAAAAAAGTAAAGTAGCATGCTTAATAGTCACCAAAGAATGTGTTAGAAAGTGCATTATTATCTATGGATGACATTCCAGGATCCAAAAGATAAGGATTTGCTTATTTTACCTTCCAGATTCTATCTGGCAAAAGTTTCAAAGGAAATCCCAAGTCAGCTTGATACTATCAACAGACATGAACAGGAGCACTAAATATTGTTTCCATGTATCAATTCCATGCACCACTATAAATAATATGTATTCCTTTTGGTGGTGGTAGTGGTGTCTATGATGATTTGTGGTGACTGCATGGACAGTCCTTGCAATCTTCTTAGCAAGGTTTTACAGAAATGGTTTACTATTGCCTCCTTCCTAGGGCTAAGAGAGACTTACTAGCCCAAGATTACCCAGTTGGCTTTGCAGTTAAGGCAGGACTTGTGGTTTCTAAATCATTATATCAATCTCTTCCAATTTTAATATGTACAATATAGGCATCCATTTAAGAATTTATTAAATGATACCAGGATTCTCAACCTAGTTAAATAACTGTGAAAATCAATCATTCAGTACCTGTAGTTCATACAAATCATTACTATATCTTCCATATTCAACCATTCCTCCAAAAACTAATATTCTGGTACCATCACAGACAAATCCATGGGCTGCACAACCTGGTGGAATATCTCCTCTGACAGCAGGAAGAAACCATTGGTTTGTGGCTGCATCAAAAGACACACAAAAATGGCCCTAGGTCAGAATTAATAGTAATTCCGGGTGGCACCCAAAAATTTAAACACAGAACCCCTACATTTAATAATGGGACTTTAATATTCACTAATTTTATTAGGTTTTGAACCTTGCATTCTTAAACAAAACACTATTCCTTTCTTCATCTGGAAAGTGAAAACTGTTTGACTTTTTACTTTCCAATCAGTCTCAAGATCTGCCAATTAGAACCTAGTGCAAAAGATGGGCATTTATGTAATAAAACATTGAGATAACTGTTTAAATAAAACAGAGGTAAAAATCTTTTTGTACAAATATCCATACCAAATTACCAGTTTTCATTTTAGCAGAATAACCTAAGGCAGGGATTGGGATAATTTGATCACACAATTTTGAACTTCAAAACTCCATGCAAAGTATGGAGTTGCCAAAGATCCCAATTTTGATCGCATGATGAGGATGCTGCAACAGTCATGTGAAAAACGCTCCTAAATCATTTTTTTCAATGCCGTTAAAATTTCAGATGGTCACTAAACAAAAGGTTGTAAGTTGCGGACTACCTATACCAGTCGTGGCGAACCTATGGCACGGGTGCCAGAGGCGGCACTCAGAGCCCTCTCGGTGGGCACACATGCCATTACCCCGGTCCTAGGCCTTCAGCTGGGTTTTATAAAACCTTTTCCCTTTAGGCCTCCGCCGCCATGTACAAAAAAAAAAGATTCAATCAATCAGTCAACTTCAACTTCTTGCAGGGAAAAAAAGATCTTAAAAAGTTGGAATTGATTGATTGAACTTTTTAGTCCCACCCAGTCTGCTGTTACCACCGCAGCCACACCCACCCAATGGGCCACATCCACCTGGCACCCGACAATGCATAAATGGGTTTTGGGTTGCAGTTTGGGCACTTGGTTTCTAAAAGGTTCGCCATCACTGACCTATACAAACCTGTTTGGTGGCCTATAATCAAGATTCAAATCTGTTACTGCATATTCCTTCCAGCTACCGCCTTCATTCCCCATGTACAAATTGACAAATTATACTTTCCACTCACAACCTCTCAATACAAAATTGTTGGGCACCTATCTTTTCCTAGGACTCAGTATTCTACTTTATATCTTAATACAGTTTCAAATTCTTTCACATATTCTCACCAAATATTTTCTCACTTCTTGACCCATGCTTATAGCAATATAATCTATTTTTAATACAGATTCACAATATTTTTTCATTATCCTGACCCAAAGCATTTTATTGGAAAGCTTAATTGAAATAAATCATACAATAACTCACAATCTCTCTGTGATGAAAGCATTATAAATTGTAAGTATTTTACATGGTTAATCAAAGTTAATAGAAAAAGTGTTTTGATGACTTTGCAGTTCTCAACATGCTACTTTTATCTTTATTACCTACATCCTATCTATAATTTATACACCTACATTGCTCATATTCTTTATTATGCATTGCTTTATATAAATCTTCCTTATCTCTGGAAACAATGACTTTTTTAACTGTTATATTCATCTTTATTCAGACCACACATCTCTGATTATCTGATTTCTGATTAGCATCACCATCAAGCAAAGTTATGAAAGACAAAAATTAGTCCATCCTCATCTAATAGAGGTATGCTATACGTTATGGGAACAGAAATCTGCAAAATTATATAGCTAGTCCTCACTAGTACTTATCTTGTGTGCCCATGTATGTGTGCACATGCATACCCTCAGCACAAAAAGATATATACAGTATACCTCAGACCCTAAAATACCTTCCATTCCCTGCTTCTACCACACTTTCTAAGATAGTAATTCCTTGCTTGAATAAGTCATTTATGACAAAAAAATAAAGGTGCTTGCAGGCACTAAGATTATGCCCTTGGAAATAGGAACTATAAAGCAAATATAAAGCAATACACCCAAAGTTAATGTAACAATGGAATTAACCTGTTAACTCAATTTTCTGCATTGACTCAATTTTCTACATTGGTGCACTTTATGGCCAACACATTAAGCTAAAATTTGTGGTTGAGTGCATCTTGCCAAGGCAATCTGATAAGGCTGTTTCCCACCTTCCAGTCGCCAATCTGCACTCCCACCGAGGTTATAAAAGAGGGAAAAGGGCTATACAACAAGTTCAGCCCAGAGAACAAGAACTAAACCTCCGGTGGTAACCAAGAGCGGCGTAGATGCCCTTGAGCGAAAACTGCTTCGGAGCCTCTTCCCTTCGATTAACCCGCAGAAGGCCGGTTCCGTGTCAGCGAATTCACACGTCCTCAGTGTCCCTTTAAAGCCCAACAGGGAACGAGGGCAGAAATTCCGGTCCGACACGAAGCTACGCCAGGGCAGAGGGCTGAAACCCCAGCGCAAACTCCCAACCCCCAGCATCCCCAGCGAATCACTGGACGCCCCCACCCATCCGCCGCCGCCGCCTCGTAGACACGTCCTCCCTCCCGTCCAGCCGGACGCCGAGGCCACCACGCCGAAGGCCCTCGCGGCTACAGAAACAGCAGCAGTTACTGCTGCGGGAGAAGCGCCCCGCCGTGGCAACCGAGCCCGCCCTGCTTCTCTCCCTTCTTCCCCCGTTGCGCACCCGTGTTGTACACATGCAGCTCATCGGCGATGCCTTCGTTGCCGCCCCCAAAGATGATGACCAGCTCGCGGATCGCCACGGCGCGATGGCCATGCCGGGATCGGGGGACCGGCCCCGTGAAGGAAGAAACGCGCCTCCAATTCAGGGCAGCGGCGCCTGCCGCCATTTTATCCGCCCACGCCCACAATGCACCGCGGCGGGGGCCGAGGCAGCTGCTGGGGAGTTTGCCGAGGAAGCCAAGCAGAGCATGGCCGGCATGGGGGAAGTACGTGGAATGGAGCTGCAGCAGCCGTAATAATAATAATAATAATAATAATAATAATAATAATAATAATAATAATAATAATAATAATAATAATAATAATAATAATAATAATAATAATACGGCCGACCACAATAGTAATAACTAGCATCTCGCATCCTGCGATGATATGTTTAATGCCATCAAACAACGATATCTGCCTAAACCCAGGTCTTTGGGAAGGACTCGATCGGGGAATAAAAATGCCAAACAATCTAAACGCCTGGCTGACAGCGACCAACCATAATCATAATATTACTAAATGGCCATAGCTTCTCTAGCTTTATGAATATGCTTCTCGCTACAGCTAAGCAGAAAATGAATGCTAAATTCTACATTTTTTTGAGATGTTATCTGAGAGTAGAATGTTGGGTCATGGTACGGGTAGATTATTTTGCAACGGTTGTACCCTAAGGGTACTGTGTTAAATTACTGAACCTGGAGTCTTGTCTTCTTGAGTACTTGCACAATTGCCATTCATTGCTTCTACTGGGTAGGAACAAAATGGTTATTTGTTTAAAGCTAATCTACCTGGAAATGTAAAAAACCATTCGGATTCAAGATTAGGGCATTAAAACATCTTTCTTCTCGTGCTAATAATTGTTGGAAAGACTCCCGAGAAGACATAATGTAGTTTCCTTATCACTCCATAAATGCAGATGTACATGGAGATATGAAGTCTGGGTTGCAAAAACCCAGACAATCACCAGAAGGCAACAGTTTTCCAGTAGCTATACAATACATGTTGCAGCAAGATGTTTCCAGGGTGATTGAGCTCATTTCTATAAGCAAGCAACACCACAGCAAGTATGCCTAATCCATCTGGTCTGGACTCTAAAATCTGTATGTTTTGCCTTTACCTTAGCATCTGTCGAGCACAGCAGTATCAGGTGTAGTGCAGCCTTAGAGGTAGCTTAGATGAGCTGGCAGAAAGTTGTACTTTGAGGGAGACCCACAGCTCTGGTTTGTCTAAAAAGTGGTGTTCAAAATGCCACCACACATATATGCCTGAGCACCTATCCAGCCATTATCATATGCCTTAAGCTAAAGACTAGCTTGGTTCCTGGGAGTGCAAAATTGTGTTTTTAATACATGCATCTGCACATTACCGTACAGTGTAAACATTGTTCTATATATTATGTAGAGCAGCGGCCCTCAACCTTTCTGGCACCAGGGAACTGATTTTTGGAAGAAAAATTGTCTTCCATAGACGGGGTGGTGGGGGTGGGGGTTTGACTCACAACCTAGATCCCACGCATGCAGATGAAGCTTGCATGGCCCAGTTCTTAACAGGCCACAGACTGATACTGTCCATGGCCCGGGAGTTAGGAACCCCTAATTTAGGGAACATACGCTAAACATTGGGCTTATTAACAAACTGCAAGGCCATTGTTGCTGTCCATATAGCGGCCAGATTGACTGAACCAATGTTTATGTACAGTATTCATTTGAAATGATACAGCTTCCCATTAAACATCTTCAAACAATTATTTAAATTTATTAACATATTTTAATCTTGCATTTCTAGTTTATTAACATATTTTAATCTTTCTAAATTAATGGACCTATCACAGTGGTCCATAGTCTAAAATCAGATACTTTGTTAATTGTTAAAACCACAACAGAAGCACAAGAGAAGCAATAAATATCTTGAGCTGAGCTCAGAAATAAAGAGAATCATTAAAGAGTTTTTTTTTTAAAGAAAAGATTTTCCTATCCCTTTCTTCACATGTAATTTTTGTACTTTTCTTCAAGGTAATTCTGTGTGTAGTATATCATAGTGCAACCGATCTGGACATGACAGAGCTACACAAAATTTGTCTTTGTACGATATCAGATATTTGAATTAATAGAGTGAGTTCAGATCGGAATGATAAGGAGAGTTGTGCAAATATATGTATAAGAAAATCCTGTTCAGCATGATGGTTAGAAAGCTGAGGTACAGTTTTCTCACATAACTTTCCTATCCCTTTTATTTTCTCAGGGAAGTCGAGTGTTTTCTCTTCTAGGTCTGTTCTATTAGAAAATTGTTGGGAATGTTTTAATTTGGATTCATGCAAAAAATATAGACCCGTTGGGCAAAATGGTCCTGCTACCTCTATTGTAATTAAATTTCCTCTTAGGCCACACCCTCTTTAACTGTAGTAGGAGAACTGGGTTAGTTTATGATTGTATTAGTCTGCATCAGAAGGAGTTAGGTGACACTTTTTCCAACAAGATGCAGCTTCTGAAAGTATATGCCTAATA